AGACTACCACTTTTCCGAAAAATTCAGACCGAGTTTTATATGTGTAAATTTATAGCATTTAATTCTACAAAAAATAACTTTATACTAGGATACGTCCTAGCCAATGATCTTCTGTTCACTAAGTAAAAACGGTCACTACAGGGTAGCCGAGCCCCTTACATCACAAAAAATCACTATGAACGACGGTCGCCCGAACCTTGCTACATGAAGCTATTTGAATGGTATCGATTTAATAAATCGTGTGGTTGTAAGTGTGACGTAAGTCATATCTCACCCCAATGTCACGGAGAACAGGTACAGAAATGCCAAGTCTGAACAATGCATGTTCTCTGCGAACTTTATCACGCTTGGATCTTCTAGTCAACACTGCCTCGAACTTTCTTCCGTTGTCAGCGATACAAAAGAACTGGCTAGATTTATTGAAAATCTTTACACATCACTGTTCGTACACAGTTCCATCGATCAGTTTTGATCTGTTGTCGATCGCCCGTCCACAAAACTGGCTTGATAACTACCCACAAATCTGCTTCATGGCGGCGAAAAACGATGGAAGATGATCTGGAAAACTTTTGGCCGGCGTCTGTGGTGTAGTGGTAAGCGTAACTGCTTTCTCACGCCAATAAGTCTGGGTTCAATCCCAGCCGAGGTCGGTGGGATTTTTCTGAGGGATACAAATCTCTGGTCACGTCTTCCTTCGCAAGGGAAGTAAAGCCGTTGGTCCTCGGCCCATGTGTGTTGATGGGTGCGATATCCTACGCAGGTGTGAAAGCTGCCTCCCTGCACATTCGATTGTCGTCAATGGATGAAAATCCATGTCCGTCGGTGATTGGCACTAGATTGCGGAACAGAGACTGACGTTAAATAAAGGAATTAAGAGCAAGAAGAAAACTTTTTGTAAACTGCGTTCGGGTTCGGAATAGTGATCGCTCGGTACATCTCACATTCCTACTTTTCCTTATGTTTTTGTATGTTGAACAAATAAGTCCATGTATCAACTCCTCCGGTAGCTGTCCTGAATCCTTGATCCTGACAGTCAGTCGGTACAGACAGTACATATATTCGGGCAAATTTTAATAAATTTCGCTAGCATCCTTCCCGGCTCCCTTGGTGTTCTTTAGCAGTTTGATAGTATCCATAACTTCACTTATAATGGCAGTTGGCACTTATAATGGGAGTCTCCCTTGTCCGCCGTGAAATCATTCTTTCTTCTGTCTTGTTTACTTACCTGCCTCTAAGAAATTCAGATGTTCTACGTTGTGCTACTTCCATCTTTCGATCAGCTTATCCCGCCCGACACATTTCGGCTCGCGGCTGAAAGCCTTAGCGCGATGCATTCTTGTAGAACTTATGCAGAACTTGAGAAGAATACAGCTGCTCCATTTCCACGGACTCCAGCTCTTCCAGGCAGCAGCATCTTTCCAGCGGAAAGATGAAATTGCTGTCCTCGTTTCTGTTTGTATCGCTCCACGTTTTGACGGGTCGTTTTGTCGATTATACTCCACGGACCCCATGGCGCCTTCTGCTGCGGGTTGCTTTGTCATTACTCCCATCTGACCTCATGATCCCGAGCATTGTCTGACCAAAAAAATTGAGCCTCCAAGGACTTCATGTACCCCCTGACGATAATAGGTAGTGACGACGCCACCGTCCAATTTTACCTTCATTTTTAAAAGCCGTTCCACAATTAGTAATGAGCAGTTACTCTAGAAAAAGCTGAATTTTAAATCCAACTACCGTTCATGTACTGGCGACGACTCTCTGCTAATAAAACGACACCACATTCCTCAACTCCTCCCATGATCCTGTTCTGATAAATGTTACCCCACTATCCTCGAGTAAATCGCAAATAATCGGTCCCATCCGTAGATTCAAAGTAAATTACTAATTATTGATTTCTTCTGGATTCCACGTTTATAGGAACACTACCGCAACTATATGTGGAAAGGAGTCAAAATCTTAAGGAAAATAAAATGTTTTCCGTCATTTTTGGGCTAATTTCAAGTTACAAAGAACTTGTTAAAAATCGAGCTTTGTAATTAAGAAAACTGTATTATCAACTAAAGAGATGTATACTACTGAAATCAGTTAATATTTTTACCGAGCTGAAATATTTATCATGCTTTTTTTTCTTCTGTTCGGGACCTAACACCACTGCGACCAGTAATTTGATCTATTGTAGTGCTTATTCATCACATTATCAAAGCTCGGTTGGGAAAATATTGAAATTTCGGTAATGTAAACCAATTTTACAGTTGGTACTGTAATATATTTACCGAATTGCTGTTTTCAATTTATGTCAGAAAAGAACACCGCATCTTTTAAAAATGGAAAATTTAAGTGATCTCAAGCTTAATTTGAGGTAAAATTTAAATAATTGATAAAAATGCATTCGTTAAGAACTAAGACCAAAATTGCATTATGTCGAAAGTAACATTCGCAACGATCCGAGAAAAATAAAGTTTTGTTGTGATGATCGAAAAGTTATTCCTATGTTCAATTAAGCACATATGATTTCATAGTGATAGAAATGTTTAGCATATTAAGCAGGATTTTAATCATACAAAGCAGATCGCTAGCTTTCATGTAAATCACTGGTTTTTTTAGTCAAAAGTTATTATACGTCGTTTGGTGGCCCCACATTGTTACATAAGTCAAAGTGTATTTACCAGGACATTTGGGAGAATTGTCAATCACGTCTTCTTACGTGTGTCCATTCATCATTTTAGGACCACCGAAATCATCTTAGCAACAAACAGTTCGGTTTATTCACTTTAATAATGAGAAAACGAAACGACGAACGTACATTTTTAATGTACTTACGGTACCTCCATAGAAATCGGGTGACTTACATAACATCGAAAAATATTTTGATCGGAAGGTTATTGCGTCAAAGAGCAATTTGACTGGTAAATAAATTTAAAAATGGGATATGGTCCTATATTCGGACAGTATATAGTGTAATAGCAGGAGCATCGATTGACACTAATAGCTCGACTTTGTTTACCTTTGTTACTTTCGACGTAATGAATTATTATTTGCATCATTTGTGATCAATTTGCCTTGATTTCAGATCCGGTAAAAACCAGGGGGACTCTATCCCTGTCAACACCATACAGATGCACCATAGACATGATGTTGACATTTATGGGCAATCTGACACTTTTGGGTAAACTGACAGCGGAAAACTGACGGAGGTATGACAGAATAAAACTTCTTACTCTTTTACACTTACATCACAGTGCTGAATACTAAAAAGCGTAGTCTGTTGTTATCATCGTAACCCGTATATTCATCACATTGATGTGAGCTATGACGAAATTCTTGATTGTTGCTTCCGTGGTAAGCACACTGTAACATGAGCCGAGTGTTCACTATAGCTTACCGAGCAAAATAAAGGAGAAAAATCTATACAACTCTCTAATAAGGAAAAATCCCAAAGGCTTGGTTCTACACATTGTAGTTTCATTTTTATACCGGTGATCTTGACATTTTTATCTAGGGGATAATTACTTAAAAAAGATTAGATTTTGATAAGTTCTTTAGTGGGAATGACGCTAATGAAGACTGCACATTATAGTCGAAATACGTATCTGTCATGGATACCAAAATTAATTAAGTGGAATTAATTGGAGTATAAGCTTTTTTGCTGTTGTCTTTTTTTCTACTTATAGGCTTTTACGTTTTTTTTACGAGCGTTTTTCCGGCTCTCAAGTAAGTGTTCTCGAAACACTTCCACAGTTATTATAATTGAGAGCATTCTAAACCAACCAATGCATGCAATTTGTATATTGTGTGACATGCACAAAGATAATCTACGCCCAGGAAAATCGGCAAAATTTCCAACCCAAAAGATTTCCTCGACCGGACCGGAAATTGAACCCGCCGCCTCCAGCTTGGTAATAATATTCCTTTACTGACGAGGCTATATGAGGCCCCACCGGCAGCCTAACCCTCATCTAATTTAGTACAAAGTATAAGTATATGCACATATTTTAAATAAGACTCTTATTCAATAAAAGTGGATAAGCTCATACTTTATAAAAAAAACCTATTAAATGCCGAGAACATTTCCAAACCGAAAATTTCCTCAATGGAGGGGGAGAATCGAGTCCGCCACCATCACAATGGACGGCAATGTTGAAGGAGACTTTTTTGTACATCATCGTATTATAGTTTTCATGTTATTACTTTCCCACTTTTGTATTTACAACATCAAATAACTATAAAACGAATGATTTCAACAAACCAAATGCTTTTTTACAATGTGTGTTTACCATTAAATAAGAGTAGCCTGTGAAGTGAACACAACACTCCGTCTTCGTACCTAATTTAATCAAATCCTTTTACAAGCTCTAGGAAACTCAAGCATTACACACGAAGCGTTAAACCCGTCATGTAAACCGATTACAATAATTTTCCCATACAGTTAGCCTATAAAAAGTCTCGTTCAACTTACATGATGCGGCCCTTGAATGATCGTGAATCATGCCACACCGCAAGTAATTTTACGCCAAATCATTGTAACCCAGATAAATGGTCAGATTTCAACCACCCCAAATTGTTGGTCCCTAGCACGCAGACCAAAACATGCGAACCGCTAGAACCAGAATACAATGAATTACTGAATCGTCAAACCCATTAAACTTAAACCATTCGTTTAAAATAATTAATTTAAGTTGCTTCCTAAGCACCACGCACATTGCACACCAGACGCGAGCAAAGATGTAACAACAAACACGCTTATCACCTTGACGACCCGACCCGCGCCCCTCCATAACACTTTCATTACACCTGCCGTAACAACGCGCTGTATCCCAAAACCACCAGTCGACATAGGCGCAAAGCAGAAAAATTAAATTCCATCACCATCCACCCTAAAGCACACCCGAAGAACCCCTCTAGTCACATCCCGTACACAAACCATGCTAGAATCCATATGGGAAACAATAGTCATACAGGCTGCTGCCGGGGTGAATTTGAGCAAAAATAAATAAACTTACCGGGAGATCCGTCACACCACAGCACACAACCTATAGGGGAAGTGGGGTATGTCAAGCACGAGAGAGGGTGTAGAAACTGTAAAGATCTGTACACCGAAAACACCGAGCTCGTGAAACACGTCTTCCGTTTAGCAGCACTGCACTAACACTAGCAACGCTGCCCCGGTCGCCGTGATGGCAAACAGCACCAAGCAAGCTGACCTCGATTTTTCTCCACGTTCGGCTCGCAACCCGAAGTACACCCGAAGTCGAGCCGAAGTTTGATGTGTAGCGCGGATGTAGTACAAAAGTTTACTAAACTTGACTTATTGAAACTTTACGGCATACTATGTTAATTAAATTAAATTAAATGCTGAAAATGGACTTCAATCAAGTAATCAATTAACGTCACTTTCTCTTAAATTATCAGAATGAGGTTAGCAAAAATTATAAGAAAGTCTCGATTTAAAAACAAGCAATCTTATGAGATTTAAAATCTAATATAAGACATCAACTTAGCAGATTTCAGTCTACACTTCCGATCTATACAATTCATCAGCAGCTTTGAAGAAAAAATAAACACCTAAAAACTCATTATTGATGAAGAAGTACTCAACCAACATTCAAAGCCGTACTTCAATATCGCTATGAACGTACAAAAAAACATCCATAGCAGGCAGCAACAGCAGCAGCAGCGAGTATTCGTTTCGAGAGAATTGAGTAACCTCGCCAGCAATCAAACTCAACGTAGCGAAAGGCAGAGAAAATGAAAAAAATAATAATGTAGGAACGGATCCCGTGTCGGGCAAATTTATTGTGTTTTAGACTGTATTTCAGCTTGTTTGTTAAATGATCATTATTTCTTTGTAGTTTCTTTATTTCCTTTAAGACTCATGTCGTGCATCAAAATGTAATAATGTCCTTTAATATTGTGATTACATGCGTCACATTTTTGTTTAAACATCCAAAAATTATCAAAGTGATCCTTTCTTTTTGTTACGTATTGCAAATTGATTGTATTTGTAATGAGTAACATATCACGCATCAAATAACCGAACAGCTTACAATGTTTCGTTACTGCGCACGTACACGCATAACAAAACACTAACATTACCTCTCCCCTAACTACCACACCCACAAGCCACCTCAATCTTCATACAATGAGAATTCGTCAGAGCTTGTGAGCGAAGAATAACAACAAAAAGAAAGCAAATAAATAATAGCCATTGTACCCATGCACCCGTTTGCAGAAAAGTGGCAGGCGAGTTCACGACGGCCCCCACTACCCACTCCTCATCGATAACATTTTGCAAGTAATGAATAACGCTTGAAAACTTACCAAATTCGACAGCAGATTACACTAAATTACAGCGATGAAAATTCCACTCACAGTACACACTGAATGGTCCTTCAAGCACCACTTCACCAATACTACTTTGCATTCCCCGCACCGAACTTGGCTGCTGCTGTTGTGCTAACAATGCGACGTTGCCGTGATGGTTTCCTATGACTACCCACACCGCACTCGGGAAGGCACGAACACCAGCCGAACACGCCCGAGTGAAGTTTTTCAAGGTTATTCAGTATCAAAGTTAGTTCAAACTTTGCCTAAATGGTGTTAATTTCTGTTACACATTCAATGTGTGCTTAGAAAATTGAAAACGAACCCCCGCGGGGGAAATTCGGAATGCTATGATGTGTAGATGTTCATATAAAATGCAACTAAGTTTAGTTTACATCATATTTTCCTGATTAGATTAGTAATTAACAAGAAATCAATAAAAATCCACACGAAGATCACCTGGGGCAAACCAAATCATGATATCTCATAGGAAACGCCACAGAGACAGCGTAGAATTGAACCGAGAATTGAACGGAAGAGGCAACACCAGCAGCAGCAGCATAATCTACGCCATAGCTAGCTTACGTGTGCCCCGTAAGCAGTCAACTCAGCGAACACCAACTACGATGAATTTCTGCTAGTCTTTATCTTACTTTCTGATATCATCCAATTTAGTAATGAAATTTCCGATATTCCTTCTGCTATCATTAGGTACTACAGTGACTACCTCATTACATGCCGAATGCCAATCATCATCAGTAATGAAATAGCACATTTTTGCATGGTATTCCCGCAGTCATTGATTGACCAACACATCACCAACAAGTGAAAATGCTTATACGAAACAAGATGGCGCTCATGTGTTCGTCTCAAATTTATTTTGGCATCAGACAACAAGGTCATTGCCATTAGATTTCTTGTTATCTTATAAACTTATGTAGTTTTAAATTAATTCCAATTAATTTCTCCTAAATCCTTCTCAAATGACTTATTACTGCCAAGGAATTAATTTGCTCAATCAAGCTGTACTGAATTTATTAAAGTGCAAAGTAATAAGAAAGCTAACACAAAATTAGTTGTGCATTTTAAGTTAACTTATGAATATCCGATAGCAAATAAGTAATACAATCAATTGTTTGCTATCCATGTCTCTATCATCGTCTCTATACATACAACGTCACGCAACATTTGGACATTGTAGCGCAACATGTGTGGTTTTAGGATACGTAGCACTAGGGTAACATCAGTGATTTGTAATCGATTTTCCATCAATATATCTGTTTGGGCAATTGACTTCTTGCCGCAAGATATCACTAATACAGCATTGCTAGGGTACCGTGTAAAATCGATTTGTTTATTATTTTCAACCACGAGTGTGGAATTGAAATGAGTAGAATCGAGTGATTGTTAGACCGTATGTAAACTAGAAACACTGGAATAAGAGACCAGCGGAGACACTGTTATGATTCCAATCGAACTGTCAAAAGCGGTTCCAATCTGCAATGTTTACAAATGGTTTGCTTCAATTAGGGAGGAGTATTAAAATCGTTTAACAATCACTCATGAACTCGCTCGTCGGTGCATTGGCGAAGTCACTCGCAAGCAGTTACAAATGCAAGTGATGCCAGGATTGCTTTGATGTTAATCTTGTTGCCAAATTCATGTTTTTTTTCTCCGCTGGTCTTTTATTCCAGTGTTTCTAATGTAAACTATAGATACTATGGATTCCATAGATAAAGGGTGATACGGTCAAAATTTGGTCAAGGGAAAACGCGTGTAAATCGGTGAAATCGTTTATTTAAAAAATCAAATTAAATTTCTTTTTCAAGTTCAATTAGTATAAAATTCAGGAAAAATATTCAGTTAGGCTTCCGCTTTTCCAAATCCGAATTGCCGGGCCTTACGCTTGAGCCCTGCCATCAGATTTTGTACAGCCACCTTGTCCACCTTCTTCGCCGCAGAAAGCCAGTTTGCCTTGAACTGCTGCTCGCCCTTAGCAGTTTTTTTGGTCTTCTTTAGGTTCCGCTTGACAATAGCCCAGTATTTCTCAATTGGGCGGAGATCTGGCGTGTTGGGAGGGTTCTTGTCCTTGGGAACCACCTGCACGTTGTTGGCGGCGTACCACTCCATGGCCTTTTTACCGTAATGGCAAGATGCCAAATCCGGCCAAAACAGTACGGAACAACCGTGTTTCTTCAGGAAAGGCAGCAGACGTTTATTCAAACACTCTTTCACGTAAATTTCTTGGTTGACAGTCCCGGAAGCTATGAAAATGCTGCTTTTCAAGCCACAGGTACAGATGGCTTGCCAAACCAGATATTTCTTTGCGAACTTTGACAGTTTCATGTGCTTGAAAACATCTGCTACCTTTCCCCTTCCTTTTGCCGTATAAAACTCCTGTCCCGGAAGCTGCTTGTAGTCGGCTTTGACGTAGGTTTCGTCGTCCATTACCACGCAGTCAAACTTCGTCAGCATCGTCGTGTACAGCCTCCGGGATCGCACTTTGGCCGTCGTATTTTGTTTATCATCGCGATTTGGAGTCACTACCTTCTTGTAAGTCGATAGTCCGGCTCGTTTTTTGGCTCGATGCACGGATGTAGACGATACACCCAGCTTATTTGCGGCATCTCGGAGAGAGAGGTTAGGGTTTCGCTTGAAACTACCGGCAACTCTCTTTGTCGTCTCAGCGGCTTCCGGTTTTCGATTTCCCCCCGATCCAGACTTCCTGGCTGTCGACAAACGTTCCCCAAACACTTTAATTACATTTGTAACGGTTGATTTGGCAACTTTTAGCGATTTTGCCAACTTTGCGTGCGAGTAGCTCGGATTTTCGCGATGCGCGAGCAAAATTTTGATACACTGCTCTTCTTGCTTGGAAGGCATTTTGACAACTGAAGAGTGAATTCCAAAATCAAAATAGGAGCAACATTCTACACACACACACCTTCAAAATGAGGGGTGTTCAGGTTTTTTAAATGCAAAATTGAAAGAAATACGTTAAGTTGATATTGACCAAATTTTGACCGTATCACCCTTTAAGCGGAGGCACAAAAAGTTGTTTTGGCAACCATGAAAAATAAATGATATTACTGGCATCCGTGAACAAAGCTCATGCCATCATAGAGCTCTTCGTTGAGCAGTTTTGTTTTGTTTCGTGCGCAAAAGTTCAAAATGAAGTGCAAAGCAAACCAAATTTTTCTTGTATTTTGATTTTTCTGTAATGCATTCAGAATTATCTTGTTTTGTTTCCGGATGCACTGTGTTAGTTCCAGGTTATCTGAATCCTTTTCCATTACGGTGCTGGTGTGGCTCAATACAGCTTTCATTTAAAGCTTTGAGGGCCCACATCCTGTAGTGCCACCCCCAGAAAACTGGACAAGATAATGACCATTTGCCGGATGTTATTCTTTTAAAAAAAAGTAGAAGGGTCTGTGCCTAGGGGCACGAACGGAAGCTTGACGTAGGACCCCTAGTGGACGGAACAAATGTGAACATTTAGTTCTTTTAAATGATGAATGATCTTAACTCTTTCCGTTTTTTATATGTAAGCGTATAAAATTTGTAGAATTTATTTCAAAGAGAAAGTTGATGAAGAGAATCCAAGGGACTATCAACTTGAGTATTTTCGATTCATCTACCCGACTTTAAAATGCGTATTTTGAATTTTTTGTTACTTATGAATTTTTAAGTTTTGTGCATTTTGGTATTAAAGTGTATTCAAATCACCCCTCACAGGATTTCCTTCCGAATTATATGAATGGGGCGGGGTGGAAAGTATTGTTTGTGCAAAATATGTAAAAAAGGAGGGACTTCGAGAGATTGAACTCTTGAGAGCTAATTTTCTCACAAATTTGATTTATTGGCTTTCTGGGGACTGAATATACACCCAAAGCGAATTATTCCCACTTCTCTCAAATTCAATATATATTTTTAACACTTCCTACCAGCGTGTTCTGGAAGATGGTCGGACGATGATTAATCTCACCAATACATTCGGGCCTACAATTCCACACCTTCTATAGGGACCAGGTTGAGCCTTGATAGCTAGCTGCTTGTGGGAACTGATGACCTTGACAAATGTTCAAATAATACTCTTAACAAATTTATGGTGGTCCTGAAAAGGACCGTTTTGTAGTGATGGTTGAGTAATTCTGAGCTGGGTGTTCAACACGGATGAAGCTGTCGAGCTGTATGTCGTTTGGAACGAGGCACAGTGGTTCAAACCTACCGAAAACGTGCGTTTTTATTTTGGGTATTAAACGTCATTTTGGAAGGGTAGCGTCTTCAGAGAAGTTGTTAGATACTTTGTAAGCTTTGTTTTGAAGTAAGTAAAATTAGGATCTATCCACCTAGAAGGGCAATAGAAAATTCAAATTTAGTAAACATGCTCAAAAGTGGTTGGTATTTTCATCAAAGTTGTAGATAATGCAAATAATAGCAACTTTGCTGAAAGTGTCAATATCGTATACTCAATGTATGATGAGTTAACTGACGTTTTTATGAAAACTCCCTCAAAAATCATTTTTTGTTAGAAAAAATGTTCAAAATTTTATTTTAGCAGTATGATTTGTTCTAGAATGTTGTTTTTATCATGGCTTGCTAGGATCATGATGTGAAGCCGAAAAAGCTATACAGTGTTGTTTGAATGAGAGATGACGTGTTGTAGAGGTTGGATGTTGTTGATAGTATGGCAAATGTATTTCTAACATGCCAAGCGTAGAACCTATCAGAACCTAATGAAACCACTTGTATTTTGTAGTTCAAAGGCAAACTTTTTGAATGAAGATGGTTTGGCTTGCCCGTATTTGCCCGTTATCCAGATTTTTTGCGTAGAAAATGATCTATTTTTGTGTTAAAATATTGAATAACTTTTGATAGGTTCATAATAACAACCTAATGTCTTCAAATAAAATGCGTGTTTTGATGATATCTACAACTTTTTAGAACAAATCATACTGCTAAAATAAAATTTTGAACATTTTTTCTAACAAAAAATGATATTTGAGGAAGTTTTCATAAAAACGTCAGTTAACTCACCATACATTGAGTATACGATATTGACATTTTCAGCAAAGTTGCTAGTATTTGCATTATATACAACTTTGCTGGAAATGCCAACCACTTTTGAGCATGTTTACAAAATTTGAATTTTCTATTGCCCTTCTTGGTGGATAGATCCTAATTTTACTTACTTCAAAACAAAGCTTACAAAGTATCTAACAACTTCTCTCAAGACACTACCCTTCCAAAATGACGTTTACATACCCAAAATAAAAAACACACGTTTTCGGTAGGTTTGAACCACTGTGCGAGGGTGACACGCTTGGCATAGATGACCGACCCACAGCAACTCACGAAGAGCTACTGATTCCGATCCATAGCATAGCGGTGCAGCTTCTTCCTCCTTTGATGGTTACTTATGTGGGCTCTGCAGCTCGCTGCTTGCAGGCAGCCTTTCGTTGTTACTGAAGAACAATTTTCAACGCCACACGCCGAAAGCACTGCTACTGCTGCTACTAATTTCGACGACAATGGTGTGGTCGTTGGGAGCGTGTGGTTCTGAGTATGGCGATGAGTGTGCAAAATATTACGCAATTCCATCCTCCCTATTCGTACGCGCCCGAGGATCGGAGGCGAATGCCACTTCGACTTGTTTCGTCTACTTACTACTCTCTGACGACTGTGCTGGGGAAGCAGCATATGCATGTAGGTAATTGGTGGATTTGTTAGTTAATTCGACACTTTTGGAAAATGCTGGACATTTACCAGTTTTGCAATAGTTTCTTGTTGAAAATCAACATTCGGAAGCATTGTTATCGATGCGTAGCCATATTTCTGATCGATTGTTGATAAAAATTATTGAAATTGGACCAGGGGCAGCTGAGTTATTAACTTTCAAAATCTTTCTTAATTTGTTATATATAATTTAATAATTTGTTATATTATATATTTTCCCCATATAGAAATCAAAGACGTAGTCCTACGTCAAAATACCATAAACGAACGATAACCCTAATTATAGAACTATTCCCCGAATGTTTTGGATGAACACGTCATCAAGTAAAATAACCATAACAATTTTATTAGGATAAGCCGATGGAAGTAGAGCAAGTGCAGGCGGAGGATAGGATGGACGCGTATCCTTGCATCGCCAGATCAAATATTTCATTGATTTTTGCTTGATTTGTACTAATAAAGAAAGTGATTTGTTTGATGATTTTAAGTTAAGCTTTGTGTGATGATTTTAAGATGAATTTTCACGCATTTATTATTGATGGTAATGAGCCCTAAATCTATATATATATATATATTTTCTCCCCATTACCGAAAAACAAATCAGGCGTAACATTTGATAACAGCACAATACCATTTGTAAACAAACTTTCTAAGGCCATTTACATGCTAAAACCATAGAGGTAACTCTAAGACCACTGGGTCCCGAAGAAAATCATTATTATTTTTGGCTCACTCAGTACCAGAACAACGGTCCCAAGCAGTCCCAAGCTATTTCACTCACAAATCAAATCAAAACAAACATAGTGTATTATATGGACCACTGCCGTTCTACGCATATCAGTCCCATGTTTCAAAAGTTGCTTCTGAGAAAATCGCGAATAATGTTTCGAATCATTTCTGCTCATTGGAAGAAATATACGTTAAAATAAGTTACCGCATTATTCACATTTCAACAGAATCAATATGTTTTAGTGAAAACTACAGAAATTACCTTCAATGAAAACAGTTAAGCCTATTTTTATACGAACAATATTTAATGGGACTGTTATGCCTAGAAATTTGCAATGAAGTAGGATATTCTACGCATTTTAGTCCCACTAGGAACTGTTACTTTCAGTGTTGCTTTGATGGCTGTACATTCATTGTACATTCAATAAATATTTTCCCACAGTGCAGGCGGTTATAAATATATAATCCCATATACTTAAGATCTCACGAACACACACTTAAATGTGAGCTACTGATGGTTGAAAACAAAGCCTTTGGTTTGGCGTGGCCGTGACAGCTGTTTGTTTTCAATTTAACCACAATAACACCACCGCACGCAGATAAGTCATAAGTTAGTTAGGTAATAACCATAATATATTGTACATGTAATTTATTTAATAAAACCACAATAACTGTAACATAGAATATCACCCAAAAACAGCAATCAAGCATCATGATATTACGGTTACTTACCGGTTCCTTCCGGCACCATATCACTTCATTGTCACCGGGAAATGTAGTTACTGCCATTCGAACGCAGCTCCCAAAACCACTATTTCTACCACAAAGCGCTAAGCTATGCTGCACAGGCAGCCGTCTTGCGGTCAATCCAGTAGCGGCTCGTGTCTACGACATCAACACCAAAGTGATCAAAGATGTAATGCTATACAAGTACGAAAATCCACGGTTCTACCGGATCTTGAATATGTTCGCCATCAGCCAGTTTCTATTTTGGGGATATCTGTCGCATTTTGCCTACACTACGCTGAGAGATGCGCCCGTTCCCGATGACAAACGCGATGATCTGGCTTGGTACGAGAGGATTAACCTGGGAGAGAATAAATACCGCAACGGCATTGCAATCATGTCTTTTGTGATAGGTAATTTGAGCGAATTATTGTAACCATAACCATGTAATATTGATCCTAACTTGATTCCCGGTTTTTAGGATACGGTATTCTATTCACCTCGTGGATGTTCACATTACGATCGATACGCTTTTTGATTCTTCGGAAGGGAGGCGATAAAGTGAGTGTGGTCACCTACGGCCCATTCGGCAAGAATCGTATAATGGAAGTTCCCCTGAACTGCATTTCGGCGCATGAATCTAGGGAAGCTGCGCGCGTTACAATTCCTATAAAAATTAAGAACCGCTCCTTCTTCTATGTCGTGGACAAAAAAGGCGAATTCACTAATGCTCGTTTGTATGACTACACCGTTGGGATGAGAAGGAATTGGAAGTAGTGCTTGTTTGGTTTATATAAACAATAGTTGAGAAAAATTTACATGCTTGAACTATCATGAAAGAAACAGCCCGTCCATGATTGTCCTAACATGCTATTTTAAGTGATGGACAACCAATAATACGCAAGTTATTTCACAATACACGAAACATCATAAAACTTACAAAATATTTACGGTATAAACATTTAATCCTTTATTCTTACAATCATTCTTAAATCTAAGCTTCTAATAAACTGGTTCAGGACTCTGAGTCAATAGTAATCCGAAACGCTTCTTGATGATGATACGATGGCGAGAATATTTGTCTTCCGGAGAGAATCTCGCCGGATGTGCGGATTGTGTTGGACTTCCGTCGGAGTAATTTTTCTGTAAAGATATGCGAGTTGAATCTCTGCACCAATAGGGAAAGGTGTTAAGCATATAAATTATATATTACCTTCAATGTGTAAACCCGTTCACCTTTTTCATTCACAGTGTACATAAGATACATTTTGTTGATATTTTGTGGTAGATTTCCGTAGAAAACTTGATATTTTAATACGATCTGCTGATTACCAATCTCCAAAATGACGATGATGCACGCACGCGTTTTTGAAGAGGTCTTGTTTGGAATTTTGAAGTGACAGCTAAACCGTGCGTTCAGCTGAAAACAAACACGTCAAAATACAACGCAGGGCTGCTTTGGAAATTTCATCTACACGGTCAGAAAAAAAGACCCCTAAAGTAAATTCTTTCCACTCAGTCAGCACTCGTGTTTATCCGGTTTATCCAGCATTTTACGATCACTTATGGCCGCCACAATCTGGCTGAGTTTCTGGTAGGGAACATAAGATTTGAAGTTTGGCTTGTGTCGTTTGACGTGTAAACGATCAAATTTGAACGTTTCCCAACAAACAATTCAGAGTCACAAATAAGCATATATATTAAATAAATGCTTTATAACAGTGTACAATGCTGAATAAAACGGGTTGTCAAGTTATGTGCTGAAAAAACCTTATTGAGATCGATCGATGTTGCGCCTTTATTCCGCATATACTTATTAAAAGCTATACAAACGATGACTGTCTTCCTGATTCAACTCCAGAAGTTTGATCTAATAACATACTGAATAAGTGTAATTTGCACATACATTGACGCTCTCGATTCGCTATGAATGTTTAACAGATAAAATGAGGGGTTCGTGGATTTTCCTATGTTTCGAGGGGTGCATCTGGTCCTAAAGTTACCTCTATGTTACTACTGTAACAGTGTTCCTATTAATGGAGGACAAGGTTTCGAAAAATGTATACCATTTAATTGCAGTGTAATATTTTTCTAGCAAAATACAGATTGAAACCTACACGGTAAGAAAAAAGTACCCAAAATTGAGTAAAAAATTTACTCAATGCTGGGTTCCAACACTTGAGGTCCACCGTTGAGTAATTCTCAAAAATGTTCTGGTTAAATTTTACTCAACTAATGAGTAATTTCAGATGAACTCAAATTTGAGTTATTTTTCAATTCAATAATCAATATTTATTTAGTTGTATTGATTTTTAATGTTCTTATAGTTTTGATTTTGTGCATGTTTTTTGAAAGTACACCATCAAATAATTGTTAAAAAATCAACTAAAATATTTTTTAATATATTTAATTCAAATCAATCGCACTGTGATTTGAAGTGAAAATAAACTCAAATTTTAGTTAAAATAACTCAACCGGCATGTTCTCACAGTAGAATGAATGGTTGAGTACTTTTAACTTATTTTTGGATGAAAATTGTAACAGCGCTTCGATGATTGGATCTGCAGCCGTTGCTGGCAGTTCATTGTTTGCGATTGCCTTAGTCGTTCACCTACAGTTAAAGTGGGTTTTCGTCCTTGTTAATGATTGAAAAAGTGGCTGGATGCTTGATAGATTGAAGGTAAGTGTTTTTATTCATTCTGTAATGTGAATACTCCCAAATTTATTATGTTTTATCGATCCGTACAGGTTGTAATCAAAGAGCTGTCAATATGGATTGAATTATCCGAAAATACTCGACAGATAACACCGCTAATCGGCTGAACATCCAGACGAGACGGATTTCACGCGGTCCAGACGGGACCGATTTTGTCGTCCAAACAGGACCGGTTTTTGTTTCGTACGGTCAATCGAAGATCTTCACAGATGCAAACAATTAGATGGTGAACATCAAAATGTCCAACGGATCCATACAACTTTAGACATTGAGCAGTATTCGTGCCCGAGAAGAGAAAATATTATGGTGTTTGTTGAAACCATCCATCCACATCCAGAGTTTGCTGAACTATGTCAAGAAGAGGGAGTGATCTGCATTAGTGCATCTGAGGTACTGTCTAGATTTGATTTTTGAATAAATGCATTAAATTATATGCCCTTTTCCACAATTTCGTTTCTTCTTAAATTTAAAAAAAGGAAAAATATTTCTTTGCTAACATTCTGTCATTTTTCTCCTCCCGACGTTGAGAAAATTTCACCTACTTCGTTCGATAATCAAGTAGGTTGTTTTCACCCATTGAAGCCCAGATTGAAATCACTCAAAATTGAGTTTTCTTGTTTAACTTAATTTTACCTAGCCCCACTGAAGCCACGTGTTGAGTGAAAGTAACTTAATTTTGGGTACTTTTTTCTTACCGTGTACACAGCAAATAAAAAATGTAATATCGATCAATGCAATTCAAGCTGATGTATAAAATAATGATGTAATAGCAAAAAGCAGATACAATATTACATCAAAGGATGTAATTTTGTTCGCAAAATCGATGTATATCGTACAACGTTATATTATACAACCGATGGATTGACCTGGTTGCAGCAGTTTGGATGTCATATTCAACAACTTTTTTTTTCTGTGTATAGTTTGACGTATAAAAATTTTACGTATATCGTTTATTAAATTTTTAATAAGCAAATTGTCTTAGTTCCTCCATAGAGGTAACTCTAAGACCACTGGGTCCCGAAGAAAATCATTATTATTTTTGGCTCACTCAGTACCAGAACAACGGTCCCAAGCAGTCCCAAGCTATTTCACTCACCCCTACATGTTCTGCATGAATCCACACACCCCTGATGTTATCTGTCAAACTTTCATAGCGAATCAAAACAAACATAGTGTAGTAATAGAATTTCAACTAGAATAGGGTACGTTAATCGTTTGCTTGGGACCAATAGGCTACTAAAGTGGTGAGCCAATTTAAAATCGTTAGTTTCGTATTGATTGTTGGTTCCTCCACTACTGGCTCACCCACACGGATAGAAATCTCCTTATACCTTTTGGCAAATTTCCATTGCTGATTATTCATAAAATGTATAAGTCAACTAATAAGCAGACGCCTTGCAAATAGTTAATAAAGATCATGTGTCAAATGAAATGTATAAGCGGTCACACATACCTTTTATGCATTCTAATAGGACCTATGTGGTTTGTCTTATGGAATGTATAAGGCTGATGCTTTGGCAAAAATGTATAAGTGAAACACATGCATTAAATAATTGATTTTCGTTTCGTGCACCCTACTTTTTTATAACAAATAGAAGCCGCAATCAAGATTATTCTTGTAGTGTCTAGCAGAGACGTTAAGTAGAGACACGCATAGACTGAAGCAAGAAGAACCAAACGAACCGTCAAACGCTGAACCAAACGAGCAAAGTAAATAAACATGAGCGAACACAATTCACCAGAAAGGAGTATTCTTCTCAATGATGATAAAGGTGTTTAATAATTTTCACGAAATATTTGATATCTGTTATTTCAAGCGTAACTATTCAAATCGACGTGTCTGCTTTTGTAAATAATCACTTCAATAAACGATGTGTCTTAACTGCTAACTCACCCACGCAAACAAACACCATATTTTCCCTACTAGCTGATGTTGTTAGTTTCTCTGAGTGAGCTAGCAGTTGCCTCAAATCGTCGATTGAAGTGATTGTTTACAAAATCAGATACGACGATTTGAATAGTTACGCTTGATTTATTTATTTATTGTTGGTTCAATCAAACACAACATTAAATAGTGATAAAAAAAATCGAATCGGAACGTTTTATTTAGTTGTGTGGTAATAATTGATTGCGCTGCAAGCAAAACAGTTAAATATGACAAAAATTATACTGTCAATGAGCGACTGTCATCTCTCGCCTTCGCTTTATTTGTGCAAAATGTTGCCGCGCACTTCATTTTTATTCAGTTCCGGTCGAACGTCGAAATTTTCTCAACAGCATTGCGGCACTGTATGAAAGTCATTTGAAGCCACTCGAAGAAACATGGTTGCCAGTGACATTGTCAAAAGATCCCTCAAAAATCGTGCTGCGGTTTCGACAGAAATTTTCATTGCGCGTCTCTATCAACGTCACTGGTGTCTAGATTTGGACCTTTTGGTTCATTTATGTATGGCCTTGATTATGGATGGAGTGCGATCTTTTGTGCGTACGAGTAGAACAAAGGGATAAGCTAGAGGAGCGTTATCAGTGATTGCGGTGGTTCAAGGAAAATTATATAAAGCATTGCCGAAAATATGACGCTGCAAAGGCACTAGGCTATTTGGGTTAAATCTTTTCATTTTATCTATTCCATTTTTATTACTGATTTATCAAATGCTCTATCTATATTGACGAATAGAGTTTCCTAACCATTCACCCTCCCACTAACACAAGTCTTCCCTTCCTCTATGAAGGTAGTATGGGTACCTTTCACCTTCTTAAGTAGATGTTGGATTAACTTACCATCCCTCACCTGCGATTGTAAGGATGTGGACAGATGTATAATGCGATGCTTGTTTTGTAGATTTTATTTTTGTGTGGGAAAAATAACCAATCCCAAGTCAAGTGTTTTTTTTTCGGCGTCAACACAATATATATTCTGCAAAACGTATTAGTTGACCGTTATATAGCCACCCACGATTTGTACAATTGCATATGCTATGCTATGCTATTTTAAAATATGTAAAACGCTGTCCAGACTGGAGAGTTATAACATGTTATAACGGTTGTCAAATAATTGCAACACAGAAACCACCATCAAGATAGCGCTATAACATGTTATAACTCTGTAGTCTGAACGTACTATAAGAAATATACCAATAAAATCAAATGAAAACTATTATTGATGTAATTTAAAAAATTAAGAAAACAATGCATACTGAAATATTTTTTTTAACTAGTTCGTTTATTTGGTTGCAAGACTTCATTTCGGATAGAACTTTCTATAATGCTGCACAGTGACACCATAGAGGTAACTCTAAAACGCTGTCCAGACTGGAGAGTTATAACATGTTATAACGGTTGTCAAATAATTGCAACACATGAACCACCATCAAGATAGCGCTATAATATGTTGTAACTCTGTAGTCTGAACGTACTATAAGACTAAGACTAGAATTTCAACTAGAATGGGGTACGTTATTCGATTTGCTTGGGACCAATAGGCTATTCAAGTAGTGAGCCAATTTAAAATCGTTAGTTTCCACCAGTTGGTGATACCTAATTACGCTCCTCACAAGTTCATACACTGTTATGGCTTGAGAACTTTAATGGTAATGGTTATGGTAGTCAGTAAGGTCCATGGATCGTTTTGTATTATTGGTCTACTTTACGTGATTATTCCACGTAAAGTCGACCAATAATACAAAACCATCCATGGGCCTTATTGTCTACCATAACCATTACCATTAAAGTTCTCAAACCATAAGTAAAAAGGTTCTAATATAGTTCTCTTTCCAAAAATATATGGAGAATACAACTATTTTGAATGGTAATGGTTCTTAAAAACCCAATATATTTGTAAGGTCCACTTCAAATAAACCATAATACATAAGTTTAAAACTTTATCACGCAAAGGGCAGCTATTTTGATTTATTGTAAAGGTTCCAGAACTCTTCGAATGATACGGAACATCACAATTGCATGAGGTTTCTTGTGAAAAGAGCAAGTATGTATGATAACTGTATCGAACAGAGATGAACCAGCCGATGGCAGAAAGTCTCTTTCATAAAGACAGAAAAACTGTATTGAATACGAAAACCTCATTACATTTCTAGATACTACGGACATGCACTAAACAAAGGACACGGACATTACACAAAAGATCAATGTGTTGGTCGCAGTGATTTGGGTGGAGAAATAAAAAGTAGAAGGGTCTGTGCCTAGGGGCACGAACGAAAGCTTGACGTAGGACCGCTAGTGTACGGAATAAATGTAGAGCATTCAGTCCTTTTAATTGATCAATTATCTATTATCTCAACTCTTTCCGTTTTTGAATTGTAGGCGTACCAAATTTGCAGTAATCTTTTTCAAAGAGAAAGTTGATTAAGATAATCAATCAATCAATTGCACCCCTGCTTCCTAGTTTGGTTAAAAAATTACAACTCTGGAGAGCATTTTGTGTGGTCGTTGGGGGCTTGTGGTTCTGAATATGGACAAACAAGCACAGATAAATTCTATTCCAACTCTTTACTGATGCAAGCTTGATTGCCCTGAAAAGTGCTGTTTTATTAAAGAGGACATCCATGGCCAGCACATCACGCATCACAGCATCACGGACCTCATTTTTAAGGAACACCTTCAGCACACCTCGTAGACCAGACTGGAGATACGTTTGACACCACCACGGCGAGCCAGACGACCGATGGCGGTTATCTCGAAGAACTTTGCGATGACACTTGGCACCTCCTTTATCAGACCTTTTCCTCCTTTGCCACGACCAGTCAATTGTTGCTTGTTGGTTGTGAAGGAGTGGACTAGCCACCACCTTCCTACTGCTGCTATTGCTGCTCACCACACCGTCCGAAGCGAAAATGAGCTAATGCCATACAGCCGGCGCTCTTTTATTTCTTTTCAGGTTAAAGCAGAATGATGTGCAACCAAGTGGTATAAAAACTACAAAGACTCCTCCCATTATGATTAGTTTGCTATCAAGTAGCGACACTAGCTCTTTTCTTTTTGCGTACACGGCGAATGAGAACGACCCAAATTTGAGTTTAGTAAATTTGTCTCTTGGTTTGCTGTGGATAACCTAAAAAATCTGACAGAAAATGATGAAATTGACGAAAATTTTATTCAGTTTCGTAGTAGTACCAATATACTGAGTGAATCCAATCTTTACTTGTCTCAAATTCGGGAATTTTTCCCTGGAAAATCCTGGAAAAACCTGGGAAAACATGAGGCAAATTTACTCATCGCTGAGTTCCTGCATTTTATTTCTTATTTCTGAGATAACTAAACTCAAATTTGGGTCGTTCTCATTCGCCGTGATATCACCTTGAAAGATATCGGCGCCGGTGGTTAGTGTGATTACCTCTCACCCCAGCAGGCCTGGGTCCAATCTCAGTCGGCGCCACCGGCATGTTCTAAGGCATAACATCTCTGATCACGCCTTCCTTCGGGAAGTTAAGCCGTTGGTCCCCGGTTGAGTTGATGGGTCGATTGGTAGGGTCCAGGTGTGGGAGCTGCCTCCCATTTGGTAGCATTCGGTAGCATTGGAGTACGGAAAACAAATCTCACGTCACTTTTCAATAGGTCCTATCTACATTGATCGATTCTCGTCATCGACACTCTCTTTCCTAAATAACTCGGCTTCACAAATGTTTCCTGCCGTCTTCGTCGAATTAGATGCTAGATTTTTGCTTCTTCCATTGAAAATATCCGGCCGTGGCGATTCAAAGATGATGAAGGTTGATCAAAATAATTTGTACCCCTGCTTCCAGTTTGATTACATGAGCATTTTTTGTGGACGTTGGTTCTGAATATGGACAAACAGGCAGATGAATTCTATTCCTACTCTTTACTGTAATAAGCTTGGTGGCCCTGAAAAGAGCCGTTTTGTTGCCAAAGTTGGTGATGATTTAACCTCCAAAACCAAACAGAGTGCGTCTCTGTCACTTCAAAACGTAGATGACATCCATGGCCGCTTACGCTTGGCGTGTTTAGTGTAGGTGACAGCATCACGGATCTCATTTTTCAGAAACACCTTCAGCACACCTCGTAAATCAGACCGGAGATACGTCAGACACCGCCACGGCGAGCCAGACGACGGATGGTGGTTATCTTGAAGAATTTGCGTTTGGTTTTGAATATGGCGATGAATGTGCAAAATATTACGCAATTCCTTCCTCCCTATTCGCACGCGCCCGAGGATCGGAGGCGAATGCCACTTCGACTTGTTTCGTCTATTTACTACTCTCTGACGACTGTGCTGGGGAAGCAGCAATTGGTAATTGGTGGATTTGTTAGTTAATTCAACGCTTTTGGACAATGCTGGACATTTACCCGTTTTTCAAAAGTTTCTTGTTAAAAATCAACATTAGGAAGCATTGTTATCGATGCGTAGCCATATTTCTGATCGATTGGTGATAAAATTATTGAAATTGGACCAGGGGCAGCTGAGTTATTAACGTTCAAAATCTTTCTCAATTTGTTACATGTTCCATTTTCGGTTTTCACAAAGTGTACCCCCATATAGAAATCAAAGACGTAGTCCTACGTCAAAATAAATAAAACACTTTAAAAAAGTCACAAAACTCATTGATTGACAACAAAAACTTCACGATTTTTTTACTATCGACTCATTGACTTTTATTTATTTATTATGATTAAAACCTGCTCCATTCTAAGCATCCAAGAAAATGTTTTGCTTTGATCGGTATTGTGTTTCGTTTTCTTCCATCATTTAGTTGATAATAATTTCCATTACTAGAGAGAATTTGACTTCAGCTTAAACACAATAACCGTTTTCCTATCATCGCTTCCTGGTTGATGCTTCTTCGTTTGTTTACCCTTAAATAAACCAATCGTTCGCACTGATGGTTCTGTTACTGTTACGCCCACATTTTTTTTTCCACTTAGCAACTAAGATACACATCCTATTTTCCTTGACTTTTTTGTCTCTGTATTCATCGCTTCGTTAAGAAACCTAAACAAAAATATACATACAAGCCCTTTCTTTCTACTAATAAATATGAAGAGATGGAACTGAAATTGTGGAACCAATGTACAAAACTTATAATAGATCACTATTTTTTTCTACATAGAATGTCGAACTCGAAAGGACAGTTACTACTATTCAAGGAACAAGGAAAAACGCAAATAGATTTAGGTATACTATTTGAGAAGTTGGGGCAAACCAACAGGGAGATAAGACAATGGCAATAAGCGCAAAATGACAAATAAATAAATTCTTCGCATGGTTTTTCTCCCCTCTAAAGTTACATAGATATGCTGCAGGACAATGTTGCTGTAGTATAGCGCCGCCACGTATGATAATGGGAAAACTTGGAACACAAATGAGGCGAGCGTATCGAAAGCACGGTTTTCTGCTCTTGATTCTATGATAACGATGATGATGGATGGTAAATAGCACATTTAGGTTTTTGCTTTAGTGGCGTTTGATTTGCTTTAACTAGGTTTGCATTTTCCCATTTAATTTTCGCTACTAATTAAGTTCAATTATTTGTTTTAGGTATATATCACTATTCCTTTTTTGTTGTTTTTGACTATGTATAATCGATTCTGCCTTTTTCCTTTCCCTTCTTTCGTCGCTTCAAAGCTGCTGCATAGCAGCTTATTCCATTAGTCTTAGCATTTTGCTTGCAGTTTCGCTCGTTACAGCAGTTTAGCTTACGTTTGTATCATTGTTTTAAAACAAAATTATTGAAATAGTTTTTTTCCGTACGTCTTCGTCTCGTGTCTCGTCGCGTTATATGGCCCTTGCGTAGTTGTCCCGAGGGATTTGTTTGTTTCGTTCGTTTTTTCCTTCTTCTCTTGCGCATTTTGATAAAAACTGGACTATCGTAAAATGGCTAACGTTTTGTTTTGCTTCATTTGATCTATTTAGAATTTCCACTAGTACAATAATTTAGGTGTGTGTTTACGTTACATGTATGGGTGTATTTGTATTTGAGTGAATAATAGTCCGCCCTAGCAGACCACGTGAAGGGGAGCAATGGCATTTACAGTGTTGCCAACAGTCGCGTGAACCCGAGACAAGCGGACAGAATGGTTTGACCGACACCGTACACCATCGCCAGGATAGGCGACATCGGTAGATTCGAGGCTCTATGTACAAAGGCAATGGTGGCACTACTGACGGTGCCTCCGGTAACCGGAGAAACCACACCCATTACTAGGATGAAAATCGAGAAGAATCTACCGAACTTGTGCTTGCGCAGCGTAACGAACGCCACAACCGCCGCACCGGTGTGAATGATGATGGACGAAAACAGAGCCCACAGGAAGACGTGGTACCACATATCCACAAACTTGGTTAACGTACTCGTTCCTACACCCCTTAGACCGATCACATTGGCTATCGTGTCTAGCTCCGCGATGCTTTCGGAATACATTGCTTGCACCGGATGGGAAACCAGTCTAGGTTTTCGATTTCCACCTTGCCCTAACTTCTAAGACCCCTAATACTACTAATCTCTCGACTTCACCCAAAACCACCTGTCTATGAGTTAGTGTTAGTATGCGCTTCGAGATCCGTCCCTATCACAGTCTCACAGTGTTACACACGGAGACAGGAATCAACCCAATCTAGATTGATCAAGTAGGAGCAGTATCGTCCTGGGGGACGAGTCCCTCGCAATTGTAGACAACGAGACCGTTGTAGATGTTGTTTTTAGAGATAGCAGTGGCTGCACCGTAGAATCTAGAGCTAGACCGTTTATGGTGGCTACTATTTGAATTGACGACCTTCGGTGCTTGAGCTGCGGCGCTAGTGTTCTAGTGCTGGTAACCTCCCGAAGGGTAGCGGTCTTCCGACGACGACAGCTATTAGCAACGATGGCGGTAGAGTAAAACTGAGATGTTGCTGGCGTTGGTGGTGGTCGCAGCAGATAGTGCGATAGATACGCACCACTATGCACCATCGTGCGGTTCTGGAAAGATTCGGAGAAGAAATTAACCATTAGAAAGGTAATGTTGAGCATGGTTGAATTGAATCAGGATTGAATATCTGGTCACTGAGATTAAAGTTCAACGATTGAAATCAGCTGTAGCAGCAATGGCACATTCAATATCAGATTCAGTGTTGGCAAAATCATCAATCAAATGATATTTTTCCGCTCTCAATTGAAGCAAAATATCATGTTTGATATTGCTAATTGCATCTGAAACTGGACTGTCCCAAAAATGCAAAAAGTGTGATAAAAGTGCACGTTTCCGTCAAATCGTTTTGATGTCTTCGGAGCACTTATTGCTTGCATCATAAGGAATAAGTGCACCGAAGACACCAAGACGATTAGACGTAAATTTGCAGTTTTATCACACTTTTTAATAAGCGAAAACGCGCTTATTAGTCCAATTTGGTGTGAAACGCGCAATATTAATTTTACAAACTCTTTTGATACTGTGGGACTATTCACAACGTGTAAAGTCGAAGCTGAGAGTTGAATCGACGCAAAAATGATTCCGTTGCACCTCGTTTTCTTAGAAAGAGAGTGTATAATAATGCTATCTCTTTTTTCTCTTCACCGATGGAATTTCACCACAGTTTGGTGAAATTTGAAGCTGGTGAATTTTGTTAGCTTGGATATTTCCAAGGGGGGAGGTGGCTGTCAAATATGAACAATCGTCGCCTACCTCGCATAACTGGTTCCAAACGTAAACAAGCCATAAGAAACCTACAGCGTTTGTTTACGTTTGGAACCAGTTTCATACAAGAATGATCAGTAGGCTGATTTGACAGCACGTCCCCCCCCCCCCAGGATATTTCAAGCTGCGGTATCACAGCTTGCAATTGGCGTTGACGGCGACTATGTGCATGGTAACCGCGAAATATACAATAATGACTATAAAAGACTCGATATTCACTACAAAGTAAGTATTTCCGATGGAGACTGGGACTACTCATTAAATGAATAAAAAAAAATACCCATTTATCAGTATTTGTTACTCACAAATGAATATGTACTTACTACTTATTTTTATAGTTCTAATTACTCAGAAATGAGTTAAATTTTACACATTTAATGGGTAGTCCCAGTTTCCCTAGAAAATGCTTACGTTTTAGTTGGGTATTTTGCGGTTACCGTGTACCGTGGACCCCCCCGACCAACCATTTCGTTAATTTTCTTTAATTTTCTATATATCGATCTTCAAAGCCATTCATAAGAAAAATCGATAGCGATCGTCACCATTTCATGAATAATTGTAAAGATGCTAAAAGTCTAATCGTGAATCGTTTATAAAGATCTTTCTCAAAATATTGCTACCAATCGTTACCAATGTTAAAATATCGATTGTGTTGCCAGATCAAAATATCGATTTCTGTTGTAAAATCAAAATATCGATACACAACTGCTGATATTATTTGTGATTTTTTATCTGCATAGTTTCTAGTTTCGATCCCATGCCATCTGGGGTGTACTGATTATTTGCTGTTTTGTTTTGATTCTGCGTTCCGTTTTGCAATGTTCCATTTCGCTTTACTCCGTTCCATGTGCAAAATGACGTTTAGGCAATTTTTAGTTTGCACGCCGTGCAGATAAGCGGGGTTCAAATTAGAAAGTGTTCAGATTAAAACCGGTCATATTACCGGGGGTCCACGGTAGCTCTTTGCTTCTATCAGGGGAAACATGTCAGAAGGGTCTAACTCGAAACGTAAACAATGACTTGGAGCGTCGGTTTCTTAAGTAGAGCTACACACTTAATCACGGTTTCCTTGTGCGGTAATTTTTTTACAGTTTTCGAACTGTAAATCACAAAAACTACCGAACATTCAGCTGTTCTCAATAAAATTACTGACGTTCATTAGTTTTTGCAAGAAACTACTGAATGCGGCAATAGTAATCACTGAATTGACCGTAAAATAACAGTTTTACGGGAAATGACTAAAACTCAGTAAAATAGAACACAGAGTTTTCAGTACTGATTATGTTTTACTGAAACAGTCATTAAACGAAATTCCAAAATTACTGATCACACTAGTAAATTGGACTCCTATACGTCATTCTCCTCCGTTCCACCAGGCGCACTTGACTTCAGAAATTTTTGAGTGAAAACAGCGACATGTTTGTGAAAATTAGTTAAACGACTGGAAGTCAACGGAGGAGTGCAAAATCATACGAAATCGGGCAGTTTATGCACTCCTGCATCGACTTCCAGATGTTCCATTGAATTTGCAGCAAAAATTTCAATTGTGTGTAGCAGTGCTCCAGACTTACGCACGCAATCTGGCACTCCAAGAAAGCAACCAGCCGGCTGAACCACGAGGAAGTATTAAGCTGGACTATAGCTCAAGATTAGTCTAAACAGCATCATTGCTATTATGCCTCTAAACAAATAAACCTGAGTCCCCTAATAAAGATCTTAAAATATCCGAAATATCAGTGCTAACATTTGAAAACGGCGCAAAAGCCATTTGTAAACAAATGGTTTGTGGGCCCTTTACTCGCTACCCGAAGAACGCCCACGCAAACCAACAGCATCGTCAGGAAGGGGAAAATTTCCCCTACCCGATGTTGCTGTTGTGTCGCGTGGGTGTACTTCAAGTAGTGAGTAAAGGGCCCACAAACCATTTGTTTACAAATGGCTTTTGTGACGTTTTCAAATGTTAGCACTGATATCAGAGTTGGTTGGAAATGCTAACATGAAGCTTTAGTGTGATGATTTATTAGCTAGAGAATGATCTTTAGAAGAGGGTAGGTGGATAGTTCCGTTAGAGTACGGCAGTATGAAAATTGAATAGAAGTTGAAAATGAGCGAAGGGCCATTAATGCGACAGTTTTTCAAGATAGACGCACATTTTTGCCTAACCCGTACGATGTACGCGGGGACTTGAAGTATGTCTCCAAGTCCACAGCATTTCCAACCAACTCTGAAAATCGTTAACTTCGCGTATGAAGTAACATAAAAAACACTTTGAATGTAACAACTCAAGGCGGGAGTAGCCGTCAACAATGCTGATGATGGTACAGCACGCAACAACCACCCTACTGCTTTCTCTCTGAGATGATCACGTTGGTCATGACGAGAGGAGCAACACAATAGTTGGGTAAAGAAGAACTGCATTATAACACACCATCGACTGGAAATGCTCTCGCAACGTGGAGCTTTAGGTAGTGATGAAAACGTCGCTAGAACTATTCCACAGCCGCAGTCAGTTTATGAGCAACAAGAGGGACGCACATTTTTGCCTGTGGACTTGGAGACATACTTCAAGTCCCCGCGTACATCGTACGGGTTAGGCAAAAATGTGCGTCTATCTTGAAGAACTGTCGCATTAATGGCCCTTCGCTCATTTTCAACTTCTATTCAATTTTCATACTGCCGTACTCTAACGGAACTATCCACCTACCCTCTTCTAAAGATCATTCTCTAGCTAATAAATCATCACACTAAAGCTTCATGTTAGCATTTCCAACGAACTCTGAAAATCTTTAACTTCGCGTATGAAGTAACATAAAAAACACTTTGAATCCGAAATATTTTATTTATAACTCAGCAAAAATAATGTAAACAAAAAACTAAAATGGTAAATTTTGACATTTCAGGGATTTTTCCATTTACCGAGTTTTCAGTTAAACCAAAAACTACTGAGTTGATTGCTGAAAACTCAGCTGTGTAAAACCCAGTAAAATTTTACCGACTTCGGTAATCTAAACTCTGTGTGTAATAAACTATAGAGGAAGAATAGCGCTGCCGTCGCTGTCGAAACATCTTTTCCTTACATCGAATAGGGACACAACTGTCAAAGCGAGAAAAAACTATACAGTTTGACAGTTCTGTACCCGGTATTATTCAACATCAGACACCAGCGCTATTCTTCCTCTATAGTATATTAGCTCTATTGTTTCTTACGAATGACAAAACACTCATTCAAACTAACTAAATTATCTGACAGATAAATGTTTGTTATATGAGCTGGTGTGGTCATTCAAGAGAAATCGACGTTCAAAGTCATTGTTTACGTTTCGAGTTAAACCCTTCTAACATTATTGTTTATTGTTTATTGAAAAATTCAACTGACAATTATTGTCTAAATGAATAAAACTTAAACTAAATAGTTACGGTCAACGGTACGGAAAAGGCCAAGTAGCCGATGACGAAACACGTCAGCTGATACATTGAAGTCGAACATATAAAAAAGTTGTTGAATTGCCGGCGGATTGCTGATTGAACATACACTGATAAAAATTCAAAGATTGTTTTTATGTGTCCCACACATGATTTTTTGCAATGTGATCAACAAATGATAACTATGTGTCGTGGACCCCCGGTAATATGACCGGTTTTAATCTGAACACTTTTTAATTTGAACCCCGCTTATCTGCACAGCGTGCAAACTTAAAATTGCCTAAACGTCATTTTGCACATGTAACGGAGTAAAGCGAAATGGAACATTGCAAAACGGAACGCAGAATCAAAACAAAACAGCAAATAAGGCAACCAGAAACACGCTGATAGGGTTACTAGAAGTTCAAATTAAAAATGAACCCCGTTAATATGAATGAGGTGTTGTTCAGATTAGCTAGGGTCCACGGTACTTAATATGTGTACACATAAAAGCCACTTGTAACCACACATACTATTCATTTGAGTCATACATTTTATGTGTGCTTCTAGGTGGATTCTGTTTACGTGTGGTCACATGAAAATGATGTGGAATTTTACAATAAAAATGTGTAGAACTCTATTAGTGTAGCTTGAGCGACCGTCCGTCTTACCTCTAATGCACACGAGTGAAACTTCGGATCAGAAAATGGCTCCACTTGTCATTTGCGAACACTAGCGCACCTAGCGGTAGACGGCATCTTCTGCCTGCAGTTAAGATAGGCAGCATGCTATGATAGTGTGAGTGCACATAGAAAACCCGTGTGGAACGCTTCCACAACACATTGCTTGTTGAGCAGCAAAACGAACCACTTTTTGATTCATC